CATCCATCCATCCATCCATCCATCATCCAACCATCCATCCATCCAACCATCCATCCATCCATCCATCCATCCATCATCCATCCTTCATCCAACCATCCGTCCATCCAACCAACCAACCATCTATCCACCCACCCATCCTTCATCCATCCATCCATCCATCCATCCATCCATCCATCCATCCATCCATCCATCCATCATCCATCCTTCATCCAACCATCCGTCCATCCAACCAACCAACCATCTATCCACCCACCCATCCTTCATCCATCCATCCATCCATCCATCCATCCATCCATCCATCCATCCATCCATCCATCAATTTAAATCCAGAAACTTCGATCATTCTTCAACAACACCTGGGTGGAGCGTTATGGCGAGTCCATCAGCCCGGGGATTTGCACCATCGTCTGGAGTATCACTGTTGCCATCTTCAGTGTGGGGGGCATGGTGGGCTCCTTCAGTGTGGGGGTCATGGCCAACAGATTTGGCAGGTAAAGGAGGTGATATCTTCTTATTGATCTTTTTTTCAAAATAAATCAAAACAGGTTGTTTGTTTTTTGTTAGTTCTTAAACATTTACAAAAAAATTATCACTTTTCCAAACATTTTATGTTCACAAATAATTTTATTGCATCACGATTGAAGAGTCTTTTATTTTCTATTTTCAACAAAAGAAACAACTGAATCTGACAAGTGTAGCAAAAATTCTGTTCTATTTAGAAAACATAGTTGTTTGGAGGTAACAAATGCTCTGTTCCCTCCTCGTCAGACGACGCTCCATGTTCTTGGTGAACTCTCTGGCAGTGATCGGAGGCCTCCTCATGGGCTTCTCCACCATGTGCTCCTCCTACGAGATGGTGATCGCCGGTCGGCTGGTCATCGGCCTGTTCTGTGGTCTCTTTACTGGTCTGACCCCCATGTACGTGGGCGAAGTGTCACCAACACCGCTCCGTGGGGCTTTCGGCACGCTGCACCAGCTCGGTGTGGTGGTGGGCATCCTGATCGCTCAGGTCAGTGAACCTTTACTAATCGAGCCCCGTCAAATTTTAATGTTTGAATGTTTTATTTTATTCATGTCATCCTTAGTGTWTATTAGGCTGTGTTTGAATATCCTGATCCAGCTCTGTTTCTGTGTTTTCCTGGTTTTTAGATTTTCGGCTTGGAGTTTTTGTTGGGCTCTGACAAGCTGTGGCCCCTGCTGTTGGCCCTTACCGTGGCCCCTGCCGTGCTGCAGTGCATCTTGCTGCCTTTCTGCCCAGAGAGCCCCCGTTTCCTGCTGATCAACCTTAAACAAGAGGAGCAGGCACGTAAAGGTAGACGCCGACAGATCTTCTGTCCTGCTGCTTCGTCGTGATATAAAAACAGGAAGATTGTAGATGGAGGAGATGGAAAACTGTTGCTGTTAAATAAATTGCTGCATTGATGTTGATGCTATTAAGCTTAGGAATCACATTTTGCCATGTGAACTGTTTAATATTTTTTAACTTAATTACAAAAGATAATTTTAGTATGGAATAAATCTTGTACCAGTGGGAATAATTTTATAATTTGAAATTGAATTGTTTGAAAATGAATTTTTCTAAATTGAAACTGAATTTAAAGTTTTGTATCTGAAATAATTTGCTTTGAAATGTATGTTAGTCTATTAAAAATTTAGTTTGACTACTTTCAATTTCAGTTCCAAAACTCAGATTTTTGTGTCACATCCTGGTCCTTGAGAAAGCCAGCCAGAGTAATCAAACACAGATCCACAGATTTAGGTTTCACTTTGATGATGCTTCCTTTTTGTAATGTAACAGAGTTGATGCAATGCACCGTAAAAGTAACAAAACAAAGTTATTTTATTGCAGTGATTAATTTTACCTATATCTAGAAAATGTTACAGTTACATCCCCTCATGGATCAGATGCAGCTGCTGACTGATCCATGATGTAAATGTAACATTTTCTACATATAGGTCAAATTAATCACTGCAATAAAATAACTTTGTCTGTTTTTGTCACTTTTACAGTGGATTGCATCAACTCTGTTACATCCAGAAGGGAAACTTCACCAAAGTGAAACATAAATCTGTGGATCTGTGTTTGATTACTCTGCCTGGCTTTCTCAAGGACCAGGATGTGACACAAAAATCTGAATTTTGGAACTGAAAGTCAAAGTAGTCAAACTGAAATTTTAATAAATTAAAATACAGTTTTAAAGCAAATTAATTCAAATTCAAAACTTTAAATTCAGTTTCAATTTAGTGAAATTTATTTTCAAACCAATGCATTCAATTTCAAATTATGCACATTCAGATTCAATCTGAGCAATTCAAATTCAGTTCCTGCTGGCACAAGATTTATCCCATATTTTAGCATCATAAGTTTATTTTTTACTTGCAGGGAATCAAAACAGTTTGTCAGAACAGCAGGAAAACTGAATTGGCTCTAAAATAGTCATTCAACCACAAATTATTATTATTATTTATTGTAATTTTTTGGAAAGGAAAGGAAATGTGAAATTAGGATATAAAATCGCAGATTTAGCTGTGTGACGATAACTAAAAACTCATCAAAGTTTCCTGGTTAAATTCAAGTAACAATAAAAGCCACCATGTCTCGGTTCTGTCCACAGCGCTGGTCCGTCTGCGCGGCACCGAGGACGTGAGCAAAGATCTGCAGGAGATGAAGGAGGAGAGCGCCAAGATGGCTCAGGAGAAGAAGGTGACCATCGCTGAGCTGTTCCGCTCGGCGTCCTACAGGCAGCCCCTCCTCATCGCCATCATGCTGCAGCTCTCCCAGCAGCTCTCAGGGATTAACGCCGTGAGTTCGCATTTCCACACACAGTTTCATCGTTTTAGATTGAAAGATTACATAAACTACATTTTTCTTTTCTTCATCTTTCAGGTGTTCTACTACTCCACCGGGATCTTTGAGTCAGCAGGAGTGAAGCAGCCCATCTACGCCACCATCGGAGCCGGCGTCGTCAACACCGTCTTCACCGTGGTCTCTGTAAGCAGCTCTGATGATTGTCTCTCATCCTGCACTGGTTTCTGTACGCTCAGCAGCAGATCACACCCTCCCTCTGTGTTCCTGCAGCTGTTCCTGGTGGAGAAGGCAGGAAGGAGGACTCTCCACCTCCTGGGACTGGGAGGGATGGCTGTCAGCGCTCTCATCATGACAGTTTCCCTCCTGCTGGTGAGTCCAGCTCAGAAGAAGCTGAAACTGGAGCAGGATGCTAAAAGAAGCCAAACACTAGCTAAAAGCTAAAACAAATAAAACAATAGCTTAATATCAAAAGTAGCAAATGGTTAAAACTTACCTACCTGAAAGCTAAACTATGGGGTGCCGTTTGTAAAGTTACACAGACAAAATTACCACCAATATTTTTGTTTTATGTAGCCTTTTATATGAAAAAAAGGACAGATTTATTTTTCAGTCAGCTTTTCACCAAATGATTCATACATTTGTAAATGTCATAGTTTATAAACTAAATATTTAACTTACAAATTAATATTTAGTTAATAAGCTAAATATTTAACTTGTGACTTAAATATTTAGTTTTGAGCTAAATATTTAGGTAGCTAGCTAAATATTTAGATTGCAACTTAAATATTTAGGTAGCAAACTAAATATTTAAGTCACAAGTTAAATATTTAGCTTGTTAACTAAATATTTAATTTGTAAGTTAAATATTTAGTTTATAAACTATGACATTTGTAAATGTATGAATCATGTGGTGAAAAACTGACTTTGAACAATAAATCTGTTTTTTTTTCTTAAAAGGCTACATAAAACAAAAATATTGGTGGTAATTTTTGACTGTGTAACTTTACAAACGGCACCCCATACTAAAGGTAGCAAAATAAGATCTATAAACTGTAATTAGTAGAACGTTAGCTAAAAGCAAACATGCTGAACATTTTGAGAAATAAATGGTAAGCATAAAATTTGCTGAAGTAGTTCGATTAGAAAAGAACAATAGTGGGAATTCTGACTCAGTGTTTTCCTATTATTAATTTTTTTCTGTAAAATTCACGCAAATACATCCTAAAGCAGTAAATATGTTGTTTACATCTGTTTGTTCTTCCTTTTTTCCCTCTGAGCAGAAGGACTTCTCAGCTATGAGCTACGTGGCAATCCTGGCTGTCATGCTTTTTGTGGCCATGTTCGAGTTGGGTCCCGGTCCAATCCCGTGGTTCATCGTGGCGGAGCTGTTCTCCCAGGGGCCCCGTCCTGCAGCCATGGCTGTTGCTGGTTGCTGCAACTGGACGGCTAACTTCCTGGTTGGAATGAGCTTCCCCAAACTGGTGGTAAGAGAGTGGCTGTCGTGCTGGTTTGGGTTGATTGATTAGAGGTTGGTTTTGGTTTATTTTGAGCTTTTTTCTTTTTTGTTCTTTTCCTGTTGTTGTGTATAGGACAAGCTAAGTTAACTTAAGATGCTTTGTTTCCAGAGCCAAACTTGGTCATCTTTTTAAGCATTACTGATCATTTTATTTGCTGTTTCTGAAAGTCTCTTGAGGTTTTCATCCTGTCCTGATGTGATCATGGTAGCTTTTAAAAAAACATTAGAACGATTGACAAATTATAAATGAAAAAGTGCCTAAAAACAACAAACAGCAGGTGAACAGAATCTGAAAGTCTTATCTTTAATTAGTAAGGAAAAATAAATCCATCAACGATCGGACTGGGTTGGAGAACTGCTTCATCCATCAGATGTTTATCTGTGTGTCAAGCTGATATTTTTGAACCTTCTTTGGTGCTGAAATATTCTCCACGTCTGGTAAAATGTATAAATCTTATACTTTTCATCAATTCAGTTGAAGTTGGAAGAGATTGCAATAAAGTCTGGCTGCTTGGAATCAACATATAGAGAAAACAGTGATGACTCAAGAATTTTGCACAGTGATTCCACTCTGTTCTTTTTTTTTGCCCCCCCATAGGATTGGTGTGGTCCTTGGGTGTTCCTCATCTTCACTGCCTTCCTCATCCTCTTCTTTGTCTTCACGTTCTTCAAAGTCCCGGAGACGAAGGGTAAAACCTTCGAAGAGATCGCCCGCGGCTTCGGTGGCTCTGCTCCTCCCGCCGCCTCCTCCGCCGAGGAGCCCCCCGCCACCACCAGCGCCGCCGTGACGCTCCCGGCCTCGCCCGAGAAGGAGAAGGTCCCGCTAGTGGAGGCGCCAGCGGCGCCGGCGGCCCCCACCTCAGCCGAAGCGATCCCCCTCACAGAAAAACCCACTGAAGAGAGCGTGGAGCAGGTGTAAATAAAGGTTTTATTGAAGAGTCACTGAATCCAAACACACAAAACAAAATAACAGGAAAATATTTCAGTTTCAACTTTCTCTTCATAAAGTTCTGTTGATTTTCTCTACATTCCTGAGAATCCAGCTGCAAACAGTCAAAGTGTGTGTCTGCAGAGGGACACACTTCTGGTTAATACCACTGAAGCAGGGTTCAGCTTATATGTTCTTAATGCAGTAAAGGCGGGCCGGTTCATAAGAATTCTCATTTACTGAATTTTGTTAAAAGTTGTTTTCATAACTACAGTTTCTGAGTTCAGGTCTGGGTGATTTAAAGGACGCGACGTGGATAAACGTGATTTTAACAACTATTTTAGTGCAATATAACTGGAAGCTTCTGTTATACTGATTGCTTTTATAGGTCAGGAGGTGTTTCCTGATCATAGATCTGCCTTTTACTCACAAATAACTATATTATTACCAAAGTACATCACCTGTTAATCAACACATACAACCTTAATATGCTTCCTAAATCCATTCTGCAGAATTATTCAACAGATTTAGCAATTCTAAAAGACAGTATCTTTGCTAAAACCATAATACACCATGTTTTTTTATTTACTTAGAAATTATCATCATTTCTGATGATGAATAGTTGCGTCACCAGTAGTCTAGTTATGATAAAATCTTTTGAGTAGTTTGGTTATAATATTTTTATCAAAGTTTCTGCTAAACAACAAAAAAAGCCAAAATTGTATAGATACTAATAGAAATTAAACGTGACTGAACAAATAATCAGATTCCTAAACACTTTAAAGATACACTTATAAGAGATGAGAACAAATAGTCTGTTTAAGAATCATAATTAGGATGCAAAACTACAATTATTCGAATTTTATCTGAGATTTAACAACTTTTCATTGTTGATGAGTAAAATATTGTGGATAAACTGATGTTTGTTAGTATTTTTAAATAATTGCCATAACCTTTGACCTTTAGGACCAACGCTTGTATCCTAATCAGTGTGACTGCATAGTTTTCCACATAGATCAAGGCCGGATTAACCATATGGGCAATTGGGCAATTGCCCAGGGGCCCACGGTCTCCAAAGGACCCTGGGCAGTGAAGGCACGGACACAACGGATGCGGGATATGCGTGGACATGTCTCCCCGCACTTCCTGCATCTGCGCTCTCTGTCTCCGCAATTTTCTCAGCCGTAACAGCTGTTTTATCCATTATTAACATATGGTAATGCGTTTTTCTGAGCCGTCTTTGAACGCACCATGAAGCGTGCGCAAGCTACTCCTGCAGATGAGATGACGGATGGGAGCTGCTGTGCTGAGCAGAGCCTCGHGGTGTAAAGAGCAACTAAAACTTGGCACAGTTTTTACCAAACAAACCATGTAAGTTGAGTCATGCTGTTGGAGGCAGATAATGTTAGCTAAATGAATAGTTATTTATCTAGTTAACATGATTAGTTGTTACCTGTTACATCCCTTGCCAAGCTAAACCCAGTCGTCTTTCATTTCTGTGCAGAAGTTGTGCTGGCTGCTTTCCACATATTTAAAATAAATCTTCATTACCACAGTTACAAAGAACAAGGTCAGGGAGGAGACAGACCAGATAGCCTACAGCAGCAGGGATCATAATGCAGACTTTCCTCAGGTAAGGAGAAATTTTGACTATTATTCTTGAAGTGGAACAGTCTTTAAAAACAGGTGTATAGTTTGAAGTCTCTACTTTTGACATAATTTGTAACAGAGTCTCAGAGAATTAACCACAGAAAGATGGAGGTTAAATCACATGACTGGATCACATGTTGTTGTTGAGAAACCAGACAGGTATCAGGACAGGGTTTTCACAGATATTTCAGAAGTACTCTTCATACTCCAAAATATTTTTTAATTTATTATTGTTCCTACTTTGGTCCAAAATAAATCTAGAATTTATAATATTATTTTGTTATTTACCAGTAGCTAAAAAAGAAATGATTTATAGTCTTAGTTCAAAAGTAAAAACTGACATGGATGTTTAAAGATGTAGTTTCATTTTTGTTTATTATATAGATGTATGACAGTTTTGTTTATTATTTATTTTCATATATTACTTTCTCTTGCATTATTTGTGTTCTTAATGACAGCAGGTATGGGTCATACAAWTTTTCTTTATTTTGCTTAGTGTTGCATATCTTTGCGGTCACATTTACTAAAATGTTGATGAGTTTAGTGTTGTGTCACTTTCTATGTTTATGCCATTCTTTGTCTTATGAGCCTACATCGAGTTAAGTAATAATTTGCTTACATGGAGATATACTGTATACAACAACTGGAGTGCTCAGAAACCACCTGACCATGTGATCGGCTGTAGGAGCTAATGGTCAAGACTCTGGATTTCTCATTACCGTTCATGTTGACAACAGAGCAGAAAAAAAAGGACTGACGATGAAGACATCATTAAAACTATTAATAATAATATTAATCCAATTATTATTAATATTTTACAGTTTATATAATCTATTTAATGTTTTAAATAATGTCAGAAAAGCTGTTTGTGTTATGGATTTATTAACAGAAGATAAACAGGAAAACGTCTCATTTTACAACACAAGTCAGCAGATTTGATCTCATTTAGCTCAATGTGATCTGAGCAGAACATAATGTAACAGTTTAAAATTAAAAAAATCTTATAAAGTCCATGTAATCACTGTTATTTATTGAACTGGTTAGCAGATATTAGCTTGTGGAGCATTTATACAGAGTTTAGCTCTGTTGAATCATGTTACAATTTAACACAAACTATTAAATATTACTTTGTCCTCTCATTAATATTTAGACCAACAGAGTGTAAAATAATATTATAAATGTGAGCATTTTTAGGTTCCTGTTACAGGAACCTGACCTGTTGAGAACTAGCTAATACAAAGACAAGTTTCATCCCATGAGGTATACAGAGAACATCTTCTAAGTGACTGGTAAATATTTATTATTCATATTTTTATGACGGTAAGAAGAAATAATAATTACCAGCTGAAGTCATCATTTTTCAACTAGCTAAAGTCTAATCTTCACACCTGGATTAGATCATTGTAATTTATAAATTATTTATTTTTCTAGTATAAATCTGCTGTTTTACATGATAGTTTCTATGTTTGCTGTGAGCTGTTGTCCTGTTTGGTCTGTTTCTGCTCCTCCATGATGTCACAGACACTACCAGTGGACAAGATGGGTAGTGTTCTTATTCAAGTCTATGTTTGCTTACAGTAATGGTGTTTTCCATCTGGTTACCTTTTGGCTACTAAAATTTTAGATTTTGTTAATAAATAGTTTAAAGAACTAAAGTCAGTCAGTGGAACTGTACTGTGGCTGTCAGTAATTATGTTTTAGCCACTAAGAAGAGGTGTGTGCTTTAATAAGAAAGGATAATAAATCACTCAATAGACCTCTAAAAAATGTGTCCCCTCTCTTCTGAGATGATGGTTACACCTTTGAGTGAAGGCACCAGCAAAATATCTGGTTTTCTCCTGTTTTTGTTAAACTGTCTGTTGGAGCTCTTGTGCTGCACAGAGAGGCTGCCTGTCACTGTGAACGTGAGTTGAGATCTTCTCCTCATTGGTCAGTCCACATGAGGTGGGTCAGGTGACTGAGAGGGTTGCTTAATGTCAAGTGTTGCTTTTGTGAAATTGTAGGACACTTCCCTCGATCTCAATGTAGTGGGTCATGTTTACCAGATTATACTGATGTGTTTTGTTTTCATAGCATCATGTGAAGGAGTGTCCTTGACAAGATGACATAGTGTATTTGTAGTTCTATGAGCATTTGTACATCAAAATACACTTGGAATCTGAAGTATTGAGTATATTTACTATATATTGCAATGATTTACTCTGTATTTTGCCACACTGGTAATCCTGGGGTCATGATGATGGGGCCCTTGAATATTGTTGCCCAGCACACAGCGAAGCGTTAATCCGGCCCTGACATAGAGGCATCATTAATTAAAACTATCATATATTTTTATTAAAGGGAAAATATTATATTAGAAATAGATTTTAAATAAAGTATATTAAAATAAAGCAGATTAAGGCATTTTCATGCTTTTCAGACTGGGGCCCAAAGAGTGCAAAACGAGTTGTTTGTGTGAAGATGATTAAAGTGCAGCTTAAATGAGCTGTTTGTCTCGTGTTTGCAGTGTGCATCACAGAAAATGGAGGAAACGTTGGAGACTATCAGTGACGGAGCACAATATGGCTTTATGTTTAACAGACGGCTCATAATCTAATCTGTATTTACACGAGCGTATATTTCACCGAGCTGTTAGCAGAGCACATGATGTTTGTAGGAAATATGCAATCAGTCGAATCTTCAGCTATAAAGCATTGAGGCAAACAACGGGGATGTGCTAATACTGAATCACGTTTAGGATTTTTACTGAAAGCTATAACTGCAGACAGAGTTTTATTCAAAGAGATACATTTAACTTTAGGATTATTTTGTAGAGAAAGATACTTGAAGTCATATAAACAGTAAAATCTGTGCGCTGAGTTTTATGTCAAAACAAAACATTTTATTTCTTAGTTTTAAATTAAACCACTTTGTTTTTGGACTGTTTTAATAATATATTTGGTAATTTTAGGGGTGCAACAATACATGTATCTGTATCGAACCGTTCAACACACAGTATGGAACGATACAGATTTTTAAAATAGGTTTTATCTGCCGTGCGTTGAAGGATCAGTGGATCTGTGTTCGACTACACCTAGGCTGCATTGTCGAGCGCAGATCCACTGAGAAACTTGCTGTTTCAGCAACGTTTAATTTAAAAACTGTACTTTTCAGGTTTAAACAAATGTTCATAATTAATTTAAATAAATTACAAGTTAAGAAGGGCATGGACATTTCTCTTTTTTGTATCGAAAAAATATTGTACCCTGAGACTAAAGTATCGAACTGAACCGAATCGTGAATTTAACGTTGCACCCCTACTTAGTGTTTTCATTCTAATTCTTAGTATTTTATTTATTTATTTTCTCTGTGAAAGTCAATCCAAAGATGATGTTTCCCTCTTTTTTCCTCTTATCGTTAGTGTGGTAATTCTCAGAGAACAAGGAAATACAACCTTTGTTCCACCTTTTGCTTTAGTTGTAAAGCAAAATCAAAAACTTGGTATTATTGTTCGAAATATACAGACTTTATTGTTAAACACATTTATTACATAATAAATCATTTATTGTCTTGGATAACAGGTTAATGGCAACATGTTATTTTGAGATTTGTTCCTTAAGCTAATCAATGCATTTTAGGAAAAGTAAATAAAAATAGAGATGACAGGGTTATTATGTAATCTGGAGGACTTATGACTGAATGAATTGATGTCTAAAAGTTGACTGAGAATTTTTCTTTGCTAAAAAATTCTGGAACAACACAAATATCSCCTTTACAACACTGTGTCAAATCTATCAAATCTACCTGCCGGTTTAAATAAAGCGGATGGATGAATTACATCAGCCTGACACAATTAAGTTAACTAATCTCCAGCAGGCCTGTTACTGGAATATGGAATTTAGGGAATAACTTATTTATTATTCTAAATAAGTGTTTAAATGGACAAATAATGGCATTCATTTATCTGAACCTGGTGTTTTATCCTGAACAATGAAATTACAATTTAAACTTTAAAGAAGAAACTCAAAATTATCTTTAGCTTCTTTTCTTTTTTGTCTTTGGGTGTAGCTGCTGCCAGCGCTGTGACACTTTGTCTGCGACAGATTTACGTAGCAGTGTGTGCGTTGTAATGTGTGACACAATTTGCTG